TCGAATTTCAGAAGAGCATGTGAAGATTTTTCTGGTGCATCGTCCACAGCGTACTTCATTTTGATATCTGTACTTTTGATTAATTTTTTCAGCTCTTTCTTGAAAAGTTTTATTGTCAATCCCAACCCGCTTTCATCCAAACGACCCGTAATTCGATTTTTCCAACTAACTCGAGCTTCTTTTTCAAGTTAAAGAAAACGATTTTTTTAAGCCAATCGTCTAATCTGCCTAGAGACACATATACAACTCAGTCGAAGAATCTCGGAAGTTATCGCGTTTAACGTTTAACTTCGAAAAACATATAACACTCGATGAAAAAAAAATCGTAATTAGACATCGCAAAAGCGACAATTTAGAGTTTGGAGCGCGCCCACACGCGGAGAAAGTCACACAGGCGGGGTGCGCGCGTGCCACGCGCGGACCACGGCGACCTGCTGTTTTTTTTCTTTCCTTCCATCCTCCGTCCGAGCGACGACGAGTAATTATCCTCCGAAAATTCTTCCTGTCATTGTATCAGTCAAACGAGCCATAGTCGGACGTATGATATGCGCGCACTGGAATGCGCCCTTGACATAACGTTGTCCTCGAATCAATTAACTATTTAATTAAATCACTGTAAATCACGACTTAAATATATGCTAATAACGTCGCGCGACACATATGGTACGTACTGTGTACATACTGTGCGAGGCGTGTATAGCATACCGTATTTAAGAGTCGACGTTAGAGCTCACCTAAGACGGCTCCTGAGGCGGGTAATTAGTACACTGCTGCTGAGCCATGATTGTCATGCTAATGCAGTAGGTGGAAATCACTGCGTGCGCCCCGGTGATCGATACGTAATATGTGGCCTCCTAACACAATGAGAGAAGTGTGCTCTACATATAGGTTCAAGTCGACCTAGCCACGGGGGGGATAGTCGTAGCACGCGCCTTCCTTGAATATCACAGTCTTAGGATTGTTTCGTCTTATGCAACAGTATTGAATCGTATTGAGTATAGACTGATTTTCAAACTATTTAATTACAAATAAATCGACGTTTAAGTGAAGCGTCTATGCACGCTTGGACGTAATACTACGTAACCGATCTCGTAAATCGTACTTAAATCAATTGAAGCTCGCTCGGCCAATTGGAATATGCATGCGTAACGAGAGATCACTGTCTCTGCGTGTGTCTGTCTGTCCATCACGCGGACGCAATCAGATGCTCAATATGACGTGATTTGTTAGCTTCTTCTTTCTTCCAAAAGACTCGGGCCTAATTACCGTATCGCTCTTACGCGAGAAATGCATGCTTGGAAGCGATCTAGGCCGTAATCTCGAAAGATTTACGAGCCTCCACTTACTGCGTAATCTCGCCTCGATCGCGCGCAGTTGGGCAGCGTAAACACTTCGGACTTTCTTCATTATTGTAATGCTTTGAGCAACAAGCGGCGACTTAACAACCACCGGGCACAATGCGAACAAAGAAAGTCCAATTGACCGATTGCGTGTTTCGACTCTCGTTAACCTTATTCGATTTTGTATTATAATTTTGTCCAGTTAACGATGCCATTTACCCACCTACGGAGTATTATTTGGCTCGGGCTTCAATTGTACCAAAGTAGGTGGACGTCATTCTACAAACTAGAGCTGATTAACTCTTTGTGGATTTTAATTGTTCTATATTACGCCTCGTATTTGGTTAAAGTGATGTAATTTACCTGCATTTAAGATGAGGGTACTCCATCGACGAGGTATGCTTTACGAGCTTGGATGAAAAAAAAAGGGTTGCGCAAATACTAAAATTTTCTAAAATAATATCTATGTACGTGAGAAGATTTCGAAACTTTCGCTACATTCTTTTTTCAATAAAAAAAAAAATGGCAATATTTTTGTAAAATCTTCGATTCCATGATCTATAAAAAATATTGCCTCTTTCATCCCAAGAAATTTTGTGACGATTTGAAAAAAAAAAAAAAAAATTACAGCAAGTTTCGAGTTTGTCACCAAGCCTAATAATCGGATACGTTCATTGACGCTACCGAATTTCGGCTTAACTCCATTGATCGTCGCGGTAATCATCGTGTCTCGTCATCATTATCGAAGGCTGCTAAGAACCAGTCAAATAAATTTAATCGATGAATATAAGTCCATAAGCGAAGTCGAACGATGTGACAAATCTACTCTTATTATAGAGCCGGAACTAGTCATAATCAAGAGCATATTTTAAAAATCCGAGAGAGAGAGAGAGAGAGAGAGTTGATTTCATACCACGAAATCCTCTGCGTAGCTGCGTAGATGTTACGACTCGTTTCAATGCAAAGTAACGAGTGTATTGAAATTTTTATAGCGATAATGAAAATGAAACAAAGAACGAGTTGAATCGCAGTGTCGTGTGGTACATAATCTTTTAATATCGTGAAGCAATGTTGTTGTCACTTTACATAGAAGACATAAAAATTGCTTCGTTTCGGTGGCCATCGAGCTGTGTTTATCGCGTGTAAAAGTAAGTCGACGGAATACTAATCATTAACAGATACTGTTCCAGTTAACATTTATTATATCATAATCGATGTTTGGTACATGGTCGATGAAAGGTATCTGAAATTTAAAAAATGCTATTAATTATTCAAAAATTCTAATACCGAAGAATTTCATTAAAAATGCTCAGATTGCACGACCTTCAAGATAAGCCGGTTTTATAAAATCATAATTCTATAAAATCGTCTGAAACAGCTAAGAATAATTTCAACTTGAGTTTATTTTTTTCATAAATCACGGTAAATAACGAGATACCGCGTTTCCTGCCACAGTTGATCTTGTAAATAAAAAATAAAATAGACCGCACGAAACTGCGATCGAGACACGTTTGGCCACCCGTACAAGATTTTGGATTCACGCAGCCGAAGACATGCACGCACGTTTTTCGGCCTCCCATTAGCGGTTTTTTATTTCGATATCACACGCGCACTCTCGAAGAGGCAGAGAGAGATGTACGTGACGCGAATGCGACATCATCATCGCCTATATACGCGACTAATTTCTGGAAAATCGTAGACATGTGCGTTTTCTCTAATCGGCGCAAGTGCAATTCGAGACCTCGATCGGAGTCGCGTAAAAATAGCTCCGAGCTATTAGTCGGGTAATAATGTGTGCCTCGAGTGTGCGGAGACGATGATCACATAGTCGCAGGGCGCGGCTATAGCTGCTGTATATATACGGAGAGATAAATGGATCGACTGCGTCAACGCGTCAATTTGCTCTCGGAGCTGCTATAGCTCTCAATTGCACTAAGGCACAATGATATACCTGTAGGTAAATCTGCCCATTACCTTGTCTCTGGTATACGTCTCTGGCGCGCGAGTATATATACGCATTATTGCGCGCATTCAAAGAGACGAGACAGAGAGAGATCCTATTTGAAGATCAAGCCAAACAAGAATGGATTCCATGCGAAATAAGTAGTACGTATATATACGTGTACGGAACGAAATTTTCATGAATACGCCATGAGGTAGCCTCCAATTATTCGGATGCGCGCGCCAAATAGCCGATGTACAATGGTATATATATAGCAAAGAGAGAAAGAGATCCGGAAAATCGCCTATATAGCGCCTATAGGCATCGGGGGTACTTAAGACATCGATTTCGTAAACGGGGCCGAAACAGCCCCCCTACATACGTAAGCCCGAACAATCGCCTATATATATGCGGGCTCGTGTGCTGCTGCCGCTGCTGCCGCCGGCGGCGAAAGAGGCATCGGTATTATAGGCGCCAAGGCTAAGAAGAGACACGCATCCTCGAGCCAATACATGTATATCAGTGCACGCAAACGTATAAAAAAGCCATCGATGCAGAGAAAATCGAAAAGAATAGGAAGAAAAGAGAGAGAGAGGGATTCTCTTTCTCTGTTAAGAGGCTTTTTCCCCTCACTCTATCTCAATCGTTTGCTCGGGAGCTGCGTGATCCCGCGCCGTTTTATTCCATATATGGGTTTTCTGAATCGACACACACGAGCTTTGCTGTATACTGCGATGTACGTTGGAGTCGTTTATATGCATATGTGGCGAGGCACTTCGAGGCGTTTGCGCATGTACGTAATTTAATTAATTGCGATTGTTAATAATTTGTGGTTTTGCTCTTTATCCTCTTCAACTATTTTACAGGAACAAAAAATCAGTAATAATCTTCAAACAAAAAATCATTTACCCAAACAAATACCGAAGTAGACGAAGCTTACACGTATACTACAGCTCGGTAGTTTCCTTCCTTCATCGCCATACGTATACGTCATGGAGAAAAGCCTTCGATACAAACGCCAATCTATATACGCATATATACGGAACAATCGCTTAGCTTATATTGCGAAGCCGATATCTCGCCGCATGCTCCGCGCTGTATTGGGAAATAGTAGTCATGCGTCGTTACGCGGCATATACATATATACGTAAATGGACTTGGGCGGCGCAATAAAAATCGTAAGAACGATAAGTACCGGCGCGGTGGTGGCCGAGCAAACGTTCGGAATTTAGCGATGGAAAATCCGAACGCGCCGCATCGAAACTGGTTAAACTCCGCAACGCGCGTGCATGTGCATAAACTGCTGCGCTATAAGCTCGCGTACCGTGAATATTGTTTGAAGATTGGGGAAGAAAAATGCCATAGTTTAGAGGTAGTTACTAGCTTCGAGGGGAAAAAAATGTAAACAAATTTGAGGTTTTGGCTGAATCCTGATGTTTTTGGGAGTTTAGATTCACGAAAACCCTTTTTTTTCACTTTTCATATACATTTGACTTTAATTGGATTTGCATATTTAGAATAGCGGCAAAGCTCGTTTTATATACTACTGCAAATTGGCTTTGTCGATTAAACAATTTTATACGTAATCATGTATCCAGTCTAATCGCGAGCTTGTCGTAAATTTTAATTGAAAAATTACGATACTAAATTTTTACGAGCAGTATCTAACCTTGACCATGGTATAAAATCAGCTCGCTCAATTGGCAATTGCAAAGTTTTATAAATCACAATCAGAAAAATGTTCAAATCTCCGTCACTATTTGTACTGCTCGTGGCTGGTAATAATATTTATTTATTCTATGCAATTGAGATATTCACATTTAAACAAAAATTCATACGTTGACCTCAGGTTGCCTGATACTGTTTGCCAGTAATGCCGTTGAAGGACAGCAACGCCGGACCAAGGATCTACCGTTCGAACCGTAGTTCTCGACGACTTTACGTTCTTCAAATCCAAAGCACAAATGATAGTTATTAAGCTCCGATTTTTATTTACGTTGTTACATTTTATGAAAGATAACATGTATAATCGATGTTCAAATTTTATATAAAGAGATTATAAAAACGAATCGGCTTGGAATCAAACGCGCGGAATAAGCCATCGATTCACCGATCCTCTCGATGTGTATAAAGCGCGCGCAAAGTTAAGTCCTCGAGAATCAGGCTCGACTGACCCACTGGCCTTCGATTGGCTCACTGTGTAATATATATCCTATATGTATCTTGAATTAAAGAATTTATAGCCGCTGAAAAGTGTACGAGCGTAAAATGTTAAATCCCCCCGAAGATCAGTGTCCGTTTGAGGCAAAATCAGCAGGGCAGGACAGAGAGACTTATTGAAGCGAAATCGAGCTCCGTTCAAGGCTGCCCACGAACGCACGCGCACCCTCTCGCTTTCCTCTCTCGCTCGGTGTAGAATTTAGCCTCGAGATGATCATCTCCATCGTGTGCATCGATACGAGTGCGTCGCGCGGAAACACGAAAAGGAAGGAAAGAGAGAAAAAGAAAAAGAAGCAAGAAGAAGACGTTAGCTATCCGGGGGTTGCGTACGTATAAGCACGAAGACTCTCGCAAGACGTTTTTTTTCGGGTGGGCGGAATCTCCGGCCCTGCGAAGAAAGTGCGCGAAACGATCTGCTTCGGATATACGGGGTATTGTATCCGGTGTATACGTATAGAAGTAAGGCATGGCAGATCGCGCGCGCGCGACAGGCAGCGGCGGTGATAGTGCGGCGGCGGTGGTGTGCGGCTGCACGCACGCGGCGCAGCCACTGGTATAACCCGCAGCACCCGCAGTGGTATAACCCTCCCGACGTGCCGAGGCGCATAGCTACTTTATATATCCCATCGCTGCTGCTGCTGCCACTGATTCTCTATCTCTCCGAGCGGAGCTGTATACTCTTTTCTTTACTCTCCTCCTCTTTCTCCTCCCACTTCTTCTCCTTCTTCTCCCGCGCGCGCGCCTCTCTGTGTGTGTATATACGCCATATATTTGGAATAAGATGCTTATCCGAGCTGCTGCTTCTTGAGCCGGGAGAGAAAGTGAGATAGAACCGAGACAACGCGCGGCTCGCTTCTGTACCGAACGAGTATATAATATATAATAATACACCTATATACAGAGCTGACACACTGTTTCACTCACGGGGGGCTCCGCTACATTCATTGCGTTCGGTCGTTTGTTTTTTTTTTTCAAAGACAATACACAAAAACAAACCAATAATTACTTTACAGAGTGTTAAAAAACGCTTAAAACTCTCAGCTATTAATTTGTAATTAATCCTTTGCCTTTTTTTTTGAGAGGTTGCCATGAAACAGCATTTTTTGTACGACACGAATCTCAGCGTGCGGGGACTATTCATCGACGAGAGACAAATCCGTGTCTTAAGCCGCTCGTGCTTAAGTAAATAGTCCGCAAGTTGCGAGTCATCGATGATGATGGTTTTTCATCGGGGAATACACAGCTTCTGACATAATTAGACCGAAAGAAAAACAAACTTTAAACCGCGAACAAACCAGCTTTGATTGTCGGGGTTCACACTGTGCGCGTGTGGGATTTGTTCAATGACGTATCAATTAAAAATCGTGTATCGATCTGACAGGTAGTGACAGTAATTACCTATTAATGGAGTCAAATGATTTTATACCAAAGAGATCGAGATTTTTTTTTAGGTTCGAATCGAGCAGTACCCTAGCAGCCAATGTAAAAGTTTCTTGTTAATTTTAGTATTAGTATAATATAATTTAATTTTAATATTAGTATCATTAAATTGTCGAGCCATAGTCGGGACCCGACCATAGGTCTGTGTGTGTAGCATCCAAAGGTGGGCTTCTCCGGGATCTCGGCTACCTGCGTATGTAAAGGGAATAAAGGCGCGACTTATGTAGTATGAATCAAGAGATTTATTAGCTTCCACGCTAACGCTTTAGTTGAGGCAAGCAGTTATAAAGCAAATGCATTCTCGACTTATACAATTATTTTGACTTTGCCACTTGCAGATTTGCAGTTTAAGGTACTCGCCATCTAGCGGCGAGGACTTATCGGGGTACATTATACACACGAATCTTTCAAAACGCAATGGACCCAAAAAGTGCTTCCGAGACAACTTTTTCGCTTCTCGCTCGCGTGGTCACGTCCTTATATACATAAGCTGCCCATAACCCGAGATAGCCCATAAAAAACAGCCACCAACAAATCCCGAGCGCGGTTGCGTGGATAAAGCGTAGGAGGAGACTCTCGAAGATCGCTAGAAAGCATAAAGTGTAAGATCTATATTGAACTAAATCGATAACAACGAGTGGATTTTAATTAAGAGACGCAGCTTTTGGAACATTATCAAAGGGATTCTAATAAGCTTCGCGTATAAATATTTGCGAAATATCAAAGTGACGTACGAGCATGGTAAAAAGAAAGATCGGATGACGTGCAGTTATATAGCAAAAAATGCCATCAAGAATGAAAATCCAGCGATCGGTCTCTCTCTCAAGCCTCTCGTGTGCTCTCTTCTTACCCCTGCGATAAGCATAACCGGCATTACCCTATACAGCGCACCGAATGTTACCCTGTTTACGATATAGTCTCGAGGAAATCGCAATCTCCATCTATCTCGATATCTCGCGCGGCGCAACCCTAAGCCTCCTCCTCTCCGTGTGTATGTGTGTATATATTTCCATCCCCGAGAGCTATATATGGGATATTGGCTCGAAATCGAAATCTCCGCGAAATAGGTAAGAGATTTGATGGTTGCGCTGCATCGTCGCGACGAGACTACTCCTCCGATGTATTTTTACGAGCATTGACTTTTATCGTACCTTATATATATATGCTACTGCGCGCAAGAGATCGGGCGTCATATATCTCGCGTTCGGATAGATATACAGTCACACACGTGAAATAATTTCCTGCTCGAGTAACACACACATACACACGCACACGGAAAACTGTGTGGTGGACTCGAGACGCGACGGGGGACAAAATCATTGTAGTATGATAATTTTCAAAAACTCGATCGAAACAATGCCCCACTTCCACGAATAGATTATTAGTCTTGGATCAAGTACGCGTCACCTAATCCATCATAAATTTAATGACCTAGTGTCACCGAGACAATTGATAGATTATTAAACCTGTCATCATTTGTCAGTTTTACTATGACGATTTCATATTTCTGAACGTGACCCGTTCATGGGGCTCCGTTTTCACGCTTAGTCTTGCTCTCGGGCCCGAGGCAACCAAAGTCGTGTAGAGCTCAAAGAGTTGACGAAGAAACCCGATCTACATATGACTTTATATTACACAGTCATATTTCATATTAATAAATCCATTGTCAAATTTTATTAATATTATCATAATTTTATTATTATCCAAGAAACGTATAATCTACTGGATGACGCAGTGCTTTTTTTTCAACCCAAAGAAATTTTCTTAATATTTTTTTTTTCATATTCTACAAGAACGTTTTCCACTTTATACACAGAACCCTAGAATACGTTTTCGAAGTATACACGTGTGTGTGTGTGTGTGCGCGCGAGCGCGGACTCGAAAACGCATCTTCACCGGAAAGAGTTGAGAAAAAGGATCGTTAAAATCAAGCTAGCTCACACGATCCTGCCTAATAATATGCTTAACAGCTTGGTGCTGCTTATAACCCGAGCATTAAATTACGCGCTGCGATATCTCTCGAGTGTTGGTTGTCGAGTAATTATGGCCCATACGATGATAGCGCCTCTGGTCTGTCTCTCCTTTTTTTTTATTGCCCTCCTTTTTGTACGACAACTTTCCTAAGCTCAAAGTTTCTCCTTTAGCATCAAATTTTTATCTTTACGATAGCATCCTATGTCAGTACTCCACGCATCTTCTCTCCTTTTTTCTTAACAATTGCCTCGGATAAACATAAAGCTTATTTACAAGCCAGAGGACAAAAGAAACGAGGCATGAGTAAGCATTGAATGACAGATCGCGCGGTCTGTTCGATCTTGAAAAGCACGACAATGGTGAGAGCATATAGATTCTCTTACTGCATGTGGTCGGATCATTAATTGCCACTAATACGACTGCATGAATATATTAATGAGGCTTTATTGGTTGTCTCTTATGGTTTTTTTCACTCGAGCTGCGTCTTGAGGGACTCATTTACTTTTCTCTTCTTTATTTTTTTCAACACATTTCATGGTCTTCACCCAGGACGCTTCGAAGACGATTCAATAGTTTCCTGCAGAGTCATCGCTTAATGTACGCCTAAGTGATGTAAACGCGACTTTGTGCCTTGAAGATGCTCTTTCTCGGCCACTCGCTCCTGTGACTAAGCAACTTTTTGATCCTGGCGTCCTCAAGCGCAGAAACGAAACTTATGATGAATTAACTATTAATTATGAAATTTACGGGTACATTAGTACTATTTAGTAGTATTTAAGTAGCCAAATGGTATATAATAATTAATCGCTCATCGCGAGCGGCAGCGGTCGCGCGGCGTCTCATCCTCGTAAGTAATCCGACAAAAGTATGGGAGAATCTTTTTCTTTTAAGAATGACTTGCTACAAACGCGAGAAAGAGTTTAAAGAAAATGTAAAAACAAATGGATAATAATTCCGAGACACGAAAAAGGATATCGCTCGAATCGAGTGCATTCGATCGCATCTACACACTTATTCGCGAGTCACGTCGCCTCTCGTACGACACGTATATCGTACGAATATTCTGTAAACTACGTCTCGCTCAAAAAGCTTCGTAATTATTTGCGCAATAAAGAATCTAAATTTGATCGAAGCGCGTCGTCGTCGTCGTCGTCTTTTTGGCTTGGAGCTTTGTGCGCGCTCGTGTTTGCGCGTGTTTTACGAGCTCAGGCGGATCGTATAAACGCGCATAATACACATAAGTCTCAAAGTAAACCAGTCGCGGTGGTGTGTGGCGTTCGCTTGCTTACGATCGCGCGGGACCATAAACACCCGCAAGCTCGGCCTACCGCCAGGCCTAGGCCTCGGCTCGCAACTCCGAATTATTAATCTAAAAATATATATCCCACGGACACACACACGGCCGGGGCCAGTAGCAGTAGATAGCTTGGATTTATATTGCAGCCC